CAACTGGGTCCTTGTACTCAAATTCATCAGCATGAACGACACTTGAAACATCTGAATCTGAATGGATTCCCTTTATAATCCTGTATGGGAAATTATCTCGAGGTCAAGTATTACACAACGAAACGACACAGCAATAGTATCAATTCTGTTCTTGAAAAAGTGCCTACATGACAACATGACACATTTTAACGTGGCCACCTTGAAAACTCACAAAAAGGTCCCAGAGACAATCCAAGCAAAATTTATTTTCTACTGACATTGCAAGTAATATGACTGGTAAATTGAAAAAACGAAATACATTAGAAAAAGCAAGCATGCCAAATTTTCAACCTCAAACTGCGCTGGCTCGGATGACGAAAATCTAACAGATAGATGTCGGGATCTCACATCCTTCTAATTATAAAAGGAGGCATCAAATGTTTGTGTCACGTTTCTTTTTTTTTTCTTTTTTTTTTTGTTTGGGTGGGGAAAGCTTGAAACTATCACAATCTTGAACAGATTATATATGCAATAAAACATGCTTTCTGAATTTGGCTTACAGGGTACAATAGATCAAACTTCTAGCTAAAAGAACATCCATCACAATAAGATCCTTTCTTCTTTTTGTGATTAGTAGCATCAAATTACTGTGATAATGCAATGCGAGTAGGTAAAAAGAACTTTGATGTATCTAGCATGAAAATCTGGTATAAAATTTATGAACTCAGAGAACTAGAGAAGCGATCAAGCAACTAGGAGTATATTCAAGCGTAGCTCTTAAGATCAGCAGTAGGGGCTCTATAGATGAAAATGAAAAAACTACCAAAAGCATGCCAAGCTGGCGAGCTGCCAATATCAAAAAGGGATCTCAACAAACCAGGCAAAGAAAAGCCACCATTAAGCAGAACCTCTAAAGCGGAAGAACAACCATGACAAAACATGACAGACATGGAAACTCAAATAGAGATTAACTATTCCTGGTCCATTGGTACAGCTAAATTTGAATAGGATGAATCTACCACACAGTAAAATATGGCCCCTTGCCCCATTGAATTTGGTTTGGCTGCACCCTAAATCAATTGAAAGCTTATTAATTTGACATCCCATTTCATTTATTTGGGCACAGGAGATTGTGAACCAACTGGGCAACAATTTCCATTGGTTGATTCTCAAAATCACCTCTTCAGAAACAAAAACACCCAAGTTCCTAATGTACGAGGATATTATAGGGAGAAGGGAGGTGTGGGGCTTCAAGGAAAGACCAAATAATGCAACTGCTTCCCACATGTAATTAATAGATTTATTTATCCTTTTCATGGCAAGTACATCATGGATTGACATAGTGGTAGATTATGTTTATGATGATCCAATATATGAATATACTAAAGACAGTCAAACATTTGACTCGATGGCCACAGCCATGAGCCAAGCGATTCAAAAGTTAAAGGTGCAGCAATCGCCAAACTAAGCTAGGAATATAAGGCCCTGGCTCTAAAGTCATCCTGCCTGTTAGAACACTTGATGGAAATCATGGAAGGCATGCAGAAGATTACGATTTAGGATAGAAAATTCTCCTTTACTTCCTACTACGGAAGGATTTCAGTTTGTGGGAAGGAGTCATAATAGATTTACAGGGGTACGGGGCAAACAATCCTCTCCCAAATGACACAGCAGGTCTCTATTAAATAATTGCACTTAAAAATTAAAAGAAAAAATAAAGAAAAGAAAAAACAAACACACAAATACATTAATGGCCTTTTTTGCTGTATTCTGCCTCCTTCCTATTAAAGGTGCTGTGATTGTCAAACTAAGCTAGAAATAAAAGGCCTTGGCTCTAAAGTCATCCTGGCAATTAGAACACCTGACAGAATCGTGGAAGGCATGCAGATCACAATTTGGTCTAGAAAATTCTCCTGTACTTCCTACTACAAAAGGATTTCAGTTTGTGAAGAGGAGTCAGATAGATATATGGCAGAAGGGGCAAAAATCCGTCTCCCAAATGACACATCAGATCTCTCTTAAATAAAGGAGTAGCACAGGTCTTTTCTTGATGTATTCTGCCTCCTCCATATTATAGTACATCCACAGTTCTTACATGCTATCTATAACTGCTCCAAGTGTCATTGGGTGTACCGGATCAATCTAAAATCTGATGTTGTTGTAACTACTGTTCAAGGAAGACCTACTAGCTTGTGTTTAAGCTAGTATCTTCTGGAATTTCTCATACAAAGGCTGGACATCCTCAAAATACAAAGATAAGGAAATAGAAATATATGATGAGTGAAAAATTGCATAATCATGCTTTAGAAACCTTGGGTATTCCAGAGAGAAACTTGAAACTAAAAGGATAGCTTACTTGTTAACTTCATCCAGGGAAGATTGCAGCTTCACTAAATGAGCCATAAGCTCTTTTGCAGCACCAACATCAACATTCTGAAAGAAACAAAAGAAATTGGTTGACATGATTTAAGTTAAGCAGACACAGAAAAGCTCATTTTATAGTAAATAGGGAACTATTAAGCAAAAACCTCGTAGTCATATCGAGTGTAATAGTGACGTCCATAGGTTGCCCAATGTTGGCGAACGATATCTTCAACAGTCACAAGGTTACCTCCCCCAAGGTTGTCCTTATTTTTATAGGCAAGGATAGATAACCAAGCCAAAACAGCCCATATTCCATCTTTCTCTCGAATATGGTCTGAGCCTGTGAAGACAATTAAAAAGATTTATTGCCTTAATGTGTCCAATTACATTGTCCAACCTATTTTTATCAATTAGATACAAGAATCAAAGTCAAGAAATCCAACCAGTTCCAAAACTTTCTTCTCCACAAATTGAACACATTCCAGCATCCATCAAGTTACCAAAAAATTTCCAACCAGTGGGTACCTTAACAAAGAAAAGATAATCAGAATACTGAAGCAGTAAAGGCAGATATGGAAAACTTAAGAAACCAGCACTCCCTCAACCCTGCACTAACAAAAGAAAAATAAATAACACTAAAATGCCAATGGAGCAATATAGTACCTCAAAAAATTTCAAGTTCAGATGTTTAGCAACAACATCAAGAGCAGCAGATGTGGGCATACTCCTGTAGAACGGATATCATTGCATCACATTAAATTCTGACATATTTCATCAAAATGAATAGCTTTTAAATAGATTATTAACAACACAACAATCATATAAAGCTACGATCCAAAAAAACAAAAAAGCGATACGAACCTGGCAACTCCTTTCAATCCTCCAGAAAAATAAGGAATAGCTTGTACAGCGTTGGCAGCAATGATAGCAACAGAATCAGAAGGAGTCACAAAGAATCTATCAAACCAAAGGAAACAACAAAAATTAAGATGCAATTTTAAGCAAGTAATAGTTGTAGTTAAAAAAAAATCAACAAGATGTTACCTTTTCCCCAGGATCATGTTACGATCCCCATCTCCATCAGCAGCTGCCCCAAATTCTGGTGGATTGGGTTCGGAATGCGTTGTAGACAATCCCATACGTGCAACTAACTCCTTTGCGTATGTCAGATTGGGATCGGGATGCCCTCCACCAAAATCCTCCTATTAAATTAATCATACATATCATAGAAAGAAAAAAGAAGTCATAAAATATAGCTTTAGAAAAACCAGAAAGCCAAACATTTTAATGAAAGAAAGATCACAATGCAAGGAAAACGAGAAGACCTTAGGAACACAATTTACTAGAGAGCTTTCATTTGCACCAAGCTCCGCCACAAAGATACGTTTTGCATGTACTCCAGCAACACCATGAAGTGCATCATAGCTACAGTGTGCAGAGATGTGAGTACCTAGCAGATACTCCTAGCACGAAAAGGAATTGACAGAGGAATGTACATCAAAATGGTGTCCATCGTGCATACCAGAAACTAAAATTTGGAGAAGAGAGCAACTTCTGGATAGATGGGAAGTCAAATATTGACCTGGAAACAGATATGCCATGTCATTTTTTTAGCCAGAAAAGAAACTATTACTACAAAAAGAACAACCATATGAAAGGTAATAAAGATGAAATTTAGCTTCAGAAAAAAATCCAACGACAAATGCATGAAGCAATATCAGTTTTCTAAGTGTTCAGTTAACAAGCTCTAGACACATCACAGAGCCCTTAAAAATTGGAAAGGAATGGCACTCAAAATTCAGAAATAGCTGAATTGTTGATTGACCTTTGCATATTAAAGGACATCTTACATGTATAAGCATTACTTGACATAACTGAAAGAAGAAAGACATTTATTTTTGCACATAAGAGAAAGATTCATACTTCAACAATTTTAGATAGTCGCTAGTTGAATCAAAAACATCAACATCAAATTTGCCCTCTGGACCCTCAAAGCTCGAGACACCTGTTGTAGATATGTCCACCTACATTCAAGTTGGGCGATATCAGAAAGTTACTGCATCAATCAAATTAAGAACTTCAGTAAAATGTAATAGGAAAGGAGTACATCTTACATCAGGCAGGCCCTCGGCAATCAAGTAGTCCTTTAATGTTGTGGTGTTCTCATAGATCTTGTTTGTTATACCTTCTGGTGCAGGTCCACCATTTTCCATGTTGTACTTAATTCCAAAATCCTGCAGGTGGATACATATGAGAAACTATACTCTGCAGGAAGAGCTAGCAAACTCGAATTGCTTTTTTTCCTTTTATTGAATTGATGCCACCAGAACACAATACTTGAGGATATTCAAAGTACACCAAGATATTTTAAACACTCTAATAGGTATCCAAATAAGGTAGTCCAAACACTCTAATAAGCATTCTAAACAATCTGTAGGATATTCCACAATTATCTTATCTCCGTAAAGCATTTTCCCACCGCCGGTCTTCTCCTGTAAATAAAACATGTTTCGAGGCTAATAGTTATTTCAAAGGCATTCCAAACTCTCCAATAGGTAGTCTAAATAAACTGAAAGGACCCACAATCATTTCATCAACCATACGTATTCTCCGACTGCCACATTTGTCCTCCGAATAATAAAACACATTTAGAAGGCATGTACTTACATGTCCTGTTTGGATTTGGAATGCCCCCGCCCTCACAATAAAAGATAAAAATTTTAAAAAACTAACTCCTTAAAAAATACAAAACAGGACATGTAAGTTCTGGTTTTCATGCTTAAAGTCAGATAGATATCTAGGCCAAACAAGCAATAATGGAACCCATTCTTTATCAAAAACAGGAAGCAAACTAATTGTACTAATTATACAATCCTTAAAGCTAAAGTAATGATTTTGCTCTCAATACATAGCATGATTTTCAGGTCTCACAAGAATGCAATTAGTCATAGCAAAAGCAAGACACAAGCCAAAACGTGAAAAGAAAATCCAAAATTCTACTTTTCAACAGAGGATCAAACATGGACTCAATAAAGGACCATAAAATCAGTTAAATCCTAAAATAGAAATTAAAAACCTTCCAACTCAACAATCGGTTATCACACATTGTCAGAGCAAGAAAGCATCAAAAGCAACAAATTGATTAAGAAAAAATTGCCGGTACTACCTCATGAGGGCCACCTGGGTTGTGACTTGCGGTCAATATAAATGCCCCAGTAGCTTTAGAACCCTGTATTGAGTATGATGTATCAAGTTAAAAGATACTGGAATCAAGTAAAACCATATCACATAAAAGGAAAGGGAAATATGAATAAAGCAATTTGAGGTAGCTCTAGAAGCAAAGCACTTACATCAGCCCCGACTCTCTCACGAACAACAGCTGATACGGCAGGGGTGGACAAAAGTCCATTTTGACCAATCCAAACACGTCTAACTCCATTTGCTGCTGCCATTTTTGTAATGATCTGCAATGAACAAGAACAAAGCGGTTATATTTAGAATTATATCCTTCAATTAAGCACCCACTATTCATCAGTACAGCGAGCGTAACCATTAAGCAAGTTAGGCATGGGGCCTCCATAGGAACATGAAAAAGAAAATAATTCTGTTTTGGTTTCAGAATGTCCCCTATGCATTAGAGAGAAGATTTCCATGGTATTATTGATTGTGTTAAAGCAAACAAACAACACAAAATAAAGAATTGCATTGGAAAAACTGGATCAATAGAACCTGGATGGCATCCTTTGAATAGTAGCGGCCATCACCAGAAACCACAAGCGTAGCACCTGCACATACAAAAGTGCGATTAGAAGAGGATATATCTATCAACACTTCCATTACATGCAAGAAATGTAGAGGACTTAATCCAGAAATGGAAAACATAAAATTCCTTACCTTTAACTCTGTCAGCTCCAAGGGCATTGAATGTTGCCTGAACAAAATTTTGCAAGTAATGAGGTTGTATGAACACCTTCACCTGAAACAGTACATCCAACTTTATGTTAGACTCAAAAGTTAAAGCCATTAAAATAACAGCACAGAAACAAGCAAAGACATTCCACATAGGCTGAAGATCATGCAGAACTACTGATTAGAAGTGCAGGTTATCCATAAGTGAGCTTAAGTGCTTAACTACAATTTAAACTACCAGCCTTGCAAATATTTCAAACAAAATGCAGAAAGAGTTGCAAAGAATACGAACATAACGCATAATTAAACTATTGTTCCAGCTGTCTCTGGGAGAACGATAAATGTTAAAGGCATCCACCCTTACAGAAATGTGAAGGAAAATAAATTAGCTACAAGCCAATTGGCTAAGGCGGTAGAGTTTAAGAACGTCACTATAAATTTTTGGGGGTCCGGAATTGTGAGCCTGTGTGTGTTTCCTTTTTTTAGCCCACCCACACCCTCTTAGTACATCGAACTAGTCAGAGATAGTTTACCATTAAGCTAACACCCCTCGCCGGGAATTATGTTTCGTTGACATATCAGCAATCTTTTTGGTGGGTTATGAATACTCCCTCGATCCCAAATTGATCAGTATTTTTAGCTTAGAAAAAATGAATTTGAGCAATTCACAGATGGAAAGAAATCACCTAGTGTTTTTTGCCTCCGCTGGGATCTAAACCTCTAGATTAATTTTTCAAAAACAGGATTCTTATATTAGAAAATTACACACAAAGTACTATATACATTTCCTTTTTTCCGTCACATACAACTGAATCTGATATCTAATGAACGTTTGCAAGTTTAGGTCTAGACCTTCCCAAGAATAAAGTAAGAATTCCTTACTTGATCTAATTTAAGTAGCTTAATTTACGGCCAAATAAGAATGCACGAGGACAAAGTTGATGAGTGGATAATGCAGGCGAATAAAATTAGCTTGTACACAAGGAGGATCAAATCAACTTAGAAAATCAAAGAGTATTAGTTTTACAACAAAATTTCTAATTATTTACAGAGGAGGCACTCGTCACATCATTTGATATTTTCATTCCATTACTACAAGGCCCATTCACTTGCAATTTATTCCTTAGATCTATATCTGCTGACTACAAGCTTTATGCATTAATACAAACTTTAAGAAAAAGATAAAAAGAAAATGCAAAGGAAAGCGGATCGAACTCGAACAGCGAACAGATCAGGAAAAGAAACTCAAAACTGATCAAAGCAGCTAAAAATTTCACGGATTCGGTGAAAAGGAAAGGAGATAAAACCGTGCTTCTCCGGAAATCACCGCGAAAATGTGGCAAAGTTGATGAAACAGCTGAAATCATACAACGAAACGAACTGTTTGTTTGAATTTGATTTAGCTTAATTCGTTTGAGGTATACCTTCTTACGGAGACCGGAAGTACCAGGCTTCTGGCCTTCGAACGGCGTAGTCTCGACGCGAATGATCTTGAACATCACCATTTTCGTCACTGGAAAAAATTAATCAACAGTACACAGAATCAGCAAAAAAAAAAAAAACAAAGAGAATTTACACACACAAAGAGAATTTACACACGCAATTCCATCTACATTGCATACATGTATATAGACAGAGCTGTAGAGAGAGAGAGAGAGGCTTACATCCGAAGGTAGGGGAAGATGAATGAGAGAAGGACGTGTGTGTGGGGAGTCTGAGAAGAGAGTGAATGACTAATATACGCACAAATAAAGCAGAGGAAAAAAAAAAGGAAAATGAAAAAAAGATAATATTGTAACGAGAAAACACTTTTAGCAACATGTTTGGACGGTTGCTACCTATTGTGTGTATGGCATTATTAATTTAACTTAAATTTTATTGTATTGTATCGTTAAATTAGTCTTTGTGTAATGACGAAAAATGTCATTTTATGGAACGATCAATTTAGTGTAATTACGTCCTTTCTTTTTTTCATCTTGCCCTTTCTTATTATTAAATAATCATATTTTTATTAAGAAATGAGAGCAAACTAGAACAATATAGTAATAGAGACAAGATATATTGGAGGGAGAATGATTTTGTTATTTCTCTTCTTGGGGTATTTTTCATAGGGTCAAAAGTTTCTTATTTATAAAGGTACAAATACATTCAAAGGTTATAAGTTAATGTACTTCTGAATTGAGTACATGAATACAAAATACATTAAATGGACAGACAAATGCATTCATCTCAATCACGTACATTCATCTCATAACACTCCCCCTTGGATGTCCATTTAAAAGATAATGTGTCTCGTTAAAACCTTACTAGGAAAAACCCAGTGGGAAAAAGTCTAGTGAAGGAAAAAGAGTACACATATATTGTAATACGCATTGAGTGCTGCCTCATTAAAAACCTTACCAGAAAAACCCAATTGGGATAAAACCTTGGTTAAGGAAAAAAGAGTACAACACGTATTATACTCCCCCTAATGAAAACTTTATTTGATATCTCGGAGACGATGCATTCCAATCTTATGTCTCAACTTCTCAAATGTTGATGTTGGCAATACCTTTGTGAACAAATCTGCCAGGTTATCACTTGAACGGATTTGTTGAACATCTATCTCACCATTTTGTTGAAGATCATGCGTGAAAAAGAACTTTGGTAAAATGTGCTTTGTTCTGTCTCATTTAATATATCCTCCTTTTAGTTGAGCTATGCAAGCAGCATTATCTTCGTACAGTATTGTTGGAATCTTCGTCTTTAAAGAAAGACCACACAGTCGTTGAATGTGTGAGTCACTGATCTTAACTATACACACTCTTGACTAGCCTCATGAATAGATATTATCTCTGTATGATTGGAAGATGTAGCAGCTAAAGTTTGTTTTGTTGAACGCCATGAAATAGTTGTACCTCCACAAGTAAATAGATAGCCTGTTTGAGATAGGGCTTTATATGGATCAGACAAATAACTTGCATCTGCATAACCAGTCATTTGTGAATCGGATTCATAAGAAGAAAATAATTTCATATCAATAGTCCCTCGGAGGTATCTAAAAATATGCTTAACACCATTCCGGTGTCTTGTTGTTGGAAAGGAACTAAATCTTGCTAATAAACTTACTGCAAAAGTTATATCTGGTCGAATATTATTTGTAAGATATATTAGTGCCCCAATTGCACTAAGATATAGAGTTTCATCACCAAGAAGCTCTCCATCATTTTCATGAGGTCGAAATAGATCTTTATTTATATCAAGTGATCTCACAACCATCGGGGTACTCAATGGATGTGTTTTATCCATATAAAAATGCTTTAGGATCTTTTCGGTATAAGTTGATTGATGGACAAAAATTCCATCTTTCATATGCTCAATTTGTAGACCAAGATAAAATTTTATCTTTCCAAGATCTTTCATTTCAAACTCTTTTTTCAAATAGTCTACTGCTTTTGGAAGCTCCCCAGAAGTTCCAATGATATTTAGATCATCAACATATACAGCAATTATAACAAATTCAGGTCCAGATCTTCTTATAAATACACAAGAACAAATTGGATCATTCTTATACCATTCTTTCAGCAAAAACTCACTCAGGCGATTATACCACATTCGCCCTAATTGTTTCAATCCATATAAGGATTTTTGAAGCTTTATTGAACAAATTTTTCAAAAACTTTTATTAGTTTCAGGAACTTTAAGCCCTTCAGGGATTTTCATATAAATTTCATTGTCTAATGTGCCATACAAGTAGGTTGTGACAACATCCATCAGACGCATATCAAGTTTTTTATGGACTGTCAAATTTATAAGATACATAAAAGTGATTGCATCCACCACAGGAGAATATGTCTCCATATAATTAATGCCAGGTCTTTGTGAAAATTCTTGTGCCACAAGTCATGCTTTATATCTAACGACTTCATTTTTACCATTTCGTTTTCGCACAAAAACCCATTTGTATCCCACTGGCTTTATTCCTTCAGATATTCGGACTATACGTCCGAATACTTCACGTTTTTCAAATGACGCTAATTCTGCCTGGGTAACGTCTTTCCATTTTGGCCAATCATTTCTTTATCTACATTCATCGACAGATCTTTATTCAAGATCCTCATCTTGTTGCATTATCTCAACAGCAACATTATAAGCAAAAATGTTGTCGACAATAATATTATTTTGGTTCCACTTTTTTTCCCGTAGAGACATAAATTATTGAGATTCCTTCATTCTTATTATTTTCAGGTACCTGGACCTCCTCTGAGGTCTTATCATTTGTTATGTCACGGGGCTCTTTTTGAGCAATTGCCTCCATATTATGATCCCCTAGATCATTTGCTCCTTTTCGTTTTCGATGATTTTTATCTTTGGAACCAATTGGTCTATCACATTTCAAGTGTGGCTTAGACTTATTTGTATTTATAGATTGTCAAATCGGGACATCAATTCGAATAGGAGCATTAGTAGTTAGAATATGTGACTTAGTCACCCTTGGTAGGTTAGTGAATGCATCTGGCAGTTGATTTACAATATTTTGCAAATAAATTATCTTTTGAACCTCGTGTTCACATTGATTTATTCAAGGATCTAAATGAGATAGTGATAATGCATTCCAATCTATCTCTTTTTGCAATTGCTTATTTTCTCCCCCTATTATTGGGTATACTGATTCATCAAAATGGCAATCAACAAATCTTGCCGTAAATAAATCTCCAGTCATAGATTTTAAATATTTTATAATAGAAGGATATTCATACCCAACATATATCCCCAATCTTCTTTGGGGTCTCATCTTTGTGCGTTGTGGTGGAGCAATTGAAACATATACTGCACATCCAAATATTCTAAGATGGGAAATATTTGGTTCCTGACCAAAAGCCAATTGTATTGGGGAGACTTTGTGATAACTTGTGGGTCTGATCCGCACAAGACTGCTGCATGCAAAATAGCATGGCCCCATGCTGAAATAGGAAGTTTTGTTCTCATAAGCATTGGTCTAGCAATTAATTGGAGGCGTTTGATCAATGATTCTGCTAGAGCATTTTGAGTATGAACATGAGCAACTGGATGCTCAATTGTTATCTCAGTTGATATGCAATAATCATTAAAGGCCTGGGACATAAATTCACCAGCATTATCAAGACAAAGTGTCTTAATTGCATAATCTGAAAATTGTGCTCTTAATCTTATTAGTTGAGCTAGTAATCTCGCAAAGGCTAAATTGCGAGTTGATAACAAGCACACATGTGACCATCTTGTAGATGCATCTATCAAAAACATATAATATCTGAATGGTCCACATGGAGGGTGTATGGGACCACATATATCACCTTGTATACGTTCCAAAAATGCAGGAGATTCAACTCCAACTTTAATTATTGATGGTCTAATAATCAGTTTTCCTTGAGAACATGCAACACAAGAGAATTCTTTAGTTTGAAGAATATGTGAATTCTCAATTATTTTGCGTATCATATTATAACCGGAATGGCCCAACCGGTCATGCCAAATAATAAAATCATTAGTAAACTCCTTGTTTACTATGGCATGTGATTCAACTATAGTAATACTAGTGTAGTATAATCCGGAGGAAAATATGGGAAGCTTTTCAAGCACATACTTCTTTTCCGCCTTTATTGTAGTAATATAGAGGTACTCAACCTTTCCTTCATTGGTGGTCTCAATATGATAGCCATTTTGGCGAATATCTTTGAAACTCAACAAGTTCTTTGAGACCTACTACAATATAATGCATCATTAACAGCCAAAATAGTTCCTCCTGGTAGTAATACAGTCGCTTTTTCAGAGCCCTCAATTAATTTTGTACTACCAGATATTGTTATGATATTGGCTTCTTTCATAATTAAATAAGAGAAATATCTCTTATTTTTTAATATGGCGTGCGTCGTAGCACTATCCAGAAGACATATTTCTTCTTTATTATTCATACGGCCAACTGAAGATTCGAAAGTTTTCATATTCTTCATAAAGAAAAAAAAATACATCATAAGTAATATTGAAAAATTTAAGAACAAAAGAAACTACATTTAGGAAACAAAATATTGACAACATAAAAAGTTTTATTCAAAACATGAACTTCATAAATATCACCTTTGTCTTTTGAAGGATTATTCTGAGAACCCTTATTTCTCTCTTGTTTATAACGACCACCACCATGGTGATTATTATTTCGCCCCTTGCCATGTCCATGTATATTTATACGGCTACGATAATTATTTTGTCTTTTTTCAGACTTTTGATTTATCGCTATCACATTCGCCTCTGGGAATGGAGCTGATCCGGTACATGGGCGGACTTCATGATTTTTCATTAAAAGGTATCATTTTCACACTGCCATTATTATATCATCAATATGGGCTATTGGGACCTGAACCCAATATCTTACCCATATGAGACGTGTTAGGCCATAATATGACGGGACTTGAACCCAACATCGTATCATCATGGTGCACCAGGAGTTGAACCTGGTGTCTTATGCTCATGGTGCAGTGGGACTTGAACCCACTATCTTATGCTCATATAATATTTATCACAAATCATCTCATTCTCTTTAGAGAATAGAATATAATTTTAGATCGCCATAAATTCAAGTTTTGATAAATTTAATATAGTATAAAACTATCTTACTAAATAGTAGAATTAATCTACATGATAAAAAAAAAATTGTAACAAGTAGTATGCCTTAAATATTCTGGGTATAAATATACACATGTCATGAAGGCATATTAATAGTAGTGAATCATTAA